CCCAGTGCGTTGTGATTGGCGAACAGCTTAGACGGTGTTTCAGTACTGCCCCGCCCCTTGCCAAAGCAGCAAGTTTAGTTAAGGATGGCGTCAATATTGGCATATCAATTTGAGCCAGATTCAGACTCAGAGAATATTGAACAAGATAATCGCGCAGAACCTTTGCATGCACGGATAATGCAAGACATATTAGAGTGGTAACGTTATTATTATTATTATTTTTTTTTGGCTAAATCATGTTTTAGATAGGATGTCAACAACCGCTTAAAAATAACTGCATTTACTATGTACAGATATGTGCATATGTATTATTTTTATTGTTATTTAATTCTACATTATAACATGAATTGCAGTGAAACTATTATACAGTTGAATTTATTTATACCATAGTCCAGTGTTTGTTGGAGTGATAGAGATCGAGGTTTCCCCGGTAACGGCTGTACACAAAGCAGCGCTCCACTGCTTTATCAGACATTACATGCAAGATTAAATTAAAATGACATCCAATTTTCTGAAGACAGTCGGTTTCCTTCAGAAATACAGTGATATAAAAACACCAGCACTCAATGTATGGGAAACAATGTAGTCTCATATTAAAGTGTAAATTCTGCAGATTACATCATAGTCCAGTATTGTACTGTCAGCAATTTATTATAAAAACGTTTTCATAATTGTAACATACATATTTACATACATAATTATTCAGGTGCATGCGTAATAACTTGCGAAAACTTCTTCTTCGTTGTCTTGTCTGAGGCACTCAACCAAGCGTTCTAACCACGACCTTGCCCCAACCATTCGGATTTCCGTAGGCGGGAAATATTTTAATGATATTCTAATGGACTGCTTTGTGATTTTGTGTGATATGTGTGACACAAAACCCCGAAAACAAACGCTGTAGTCCAAACGAGCCGTTCGTTGTAGTTCTTGAAAAGGGATTTTTTTTTAACGAAATATCTCCCTTTGTAGTGGACTTTGAGATTTGTAAGTTTGAAGATCTTTTTTATGCCCAAACATACACACTACACACTGACTAAAATTCAAAAAGTGAAAAAACATAATAGGACCCCTTTAAAATGTTAACCTTTTTGGGTCTGCAATCCATTTTTTGGTTGTGACCCACTGATTTGGTGTAATATTATTATATTATATTATATTATATGGACAATACAATATGTACAGTTTTTTTGTGCTCGGCATATCAAAATGTGTTGCACTGCACCTATATTTTTTCATCCTTTTTTCCAGTTTTATTAGATTTAGGCTTTTGAAATTTTAAAATGATTTGTCACGATTCTTTACCTGATCCTTATTTGAAGTTGGCAAATTGCACCCTTTGCTTCTGAAAATGTTGTGTTTCTTTTCGCATCAATCCCAGGGTATCATAATGAGCTGGCAGAACTCAAACAGTAGAAATAAAGTAAAGCTTTGCTCATCTACATTGATAAAAATGGACTGTCAAGGCTCTTGTCAAGAAGAACGACCAACTAGACTGCCCTGACACTTCTCTTTTTTCCCTCTTTTCCACCAGGATCCAGCATCATCGACCACATCAGAGGCAGACTCAGATACCAGGGAGAGTGAGCCTGCCACCCTTAACTATAAACCTTCCCCTCTCCACATGAAGATAGGTTAGTTGTGGGATTGTTTATACTGCCAAATGCTAATGCTATGCTTTTATTTAAAGCAATTTTTGCAATTATGTGTTGTTTCATTTGACATGATTAAAATATAAATATGTCTAATATTTTTCTCTCTCACAGACAAAAAAAGAGAGTTGGTTAGGAAAGGATCACTGAAAAATGGCAATGCTGGAAGCCCTGTCAATCAACAACCCAAGAAAAATAACGTGATGGCCAGAACAAGGTAAATTCAAGAGAAAATGATCATAGTTTTCAATATGTACATAAACTGTTTTATTTCACATTAATTCAAAAACCTGTCTCTATTTCTCTTTCCATCCAGGCTAGTGGTTCCCAATAAAGGCTACTCTTCTTTAGACCAAAGTCCAGATGAGAAACCTTTAGTTGCTCTTGACACAGACAGGTAAGCTCTTCACTCATCCTTCACTGATTTATTTATGCCCCCATTGGCCACAGGCCTCAAAGTCACTGTGTTCACTTGCCTTGCAGCGATGACGACTTTGACATGTCTAGATATTCTTCATCAGGATACTCGTCAGCCGAGGTGAGGTCTCTAAGGGAACAGGTACCTATGATCTCTGGTCAATGTCCTAAGCCCCATACCCCAAGCATCTTGACAGTGGATTTCCTTCTCAGATGTCACTCACGATCTTTTATGCACTAAATTCCCTTTTGTTCTAAAAACGTACTCGCCCTCAGGCAACCCAAGACGTGGATGAGTTTGTTTCTTCGTCTGAACATATTTGGAGAAATTTAGCATTACATCACTTGCTTACTTATGGATCCTCTGCAGTGAATGGGTGTTAAAACAGCTGATGCAAACGTCACAATAATACACAACTAATCAATTAAGATCTTGTGAAAAGCTGCATGTGTTTAATACACAAACTCATCATTAAAAGATGTTTTAATGTCAAACCATTGCTTCCAGCTAAAATACAAGTCCTCTATCCATATTATTGCTTTCTCTAGTGAAAAGCCATCTTGTCTGAAGCAGGAAAAAATATGCACAGATCAAGCACCATTTACAAGCGAAAACAGTCCAAAATAATGTTATTATGGATTATGGACCCGTATACTGTAGCTTTTCACAGGACGTTATTCGGTGGACTGCATGTGATTGTAATGTTTTTATTAGTTGTTTGGACTCTCATTCTGACGGCACCCTTTCACTGCAGAGCTGGTGAGCAAGTGATGTAATGCTAAATTTCTCCAAATCTGTTCCAAGGAAGAAACAAACTCATCTACATCTTGGATGGCCTAAGGGTGACTAAATTTTTAGCAAATTAAAATTTTGGGGTGAATTATTCCTTTAAAGGTCACCATTGCTCATTTGTTGTTGTTAATCATATACATGTTGTTGTTCATGTCATTGATTCATTAAACCAATAAATGTCCCAATCAAGCTATTGAACCTGTAGTCTTATTAATCTATTAAATAACTGCTGCCAGAAAAATTGAACTAATTTATATAATTTAATTAGTGGCGGATATGCAGCCTGGCCTGACATGCTGTTTGTTGCTTCCTGCAGCAGATAAACCAGGATCTGAACATCCAACTACTGAAAGATGGATACAGGCTGGATGAGATCCCCGATGATGAAGACCTGGACCTCATACCACCCAAATCCGTTAACTCCACCTGCATCTGCTGCCAAGCCACCTCCTCCACTGCTTGTCAAATCCAGTAAACCTGTCACCATTTCCCCTCCCTGTGCTCCCTCTCTCTCTTCCCCTCCCTCTTTCCCTTTCATAACCTCAGATAAGACATCTAATCAATATTACAGAGGGAAATGTACAGTAAACGTTATGATGAACATGGTGTACAGGAAAATGTGAACACACAGACACACAAAACACATTACATGTGCTAATACACACACATACACACATTTACTCGTACTTATAATTCTAAACATGACTATTATTGGTTGCTTCCTCCTATGGCAGGATATGCACTGTTTGCTAATACGTTAGGAGAGTCTGCTCACTTTCACCTCCTAGCTGGCATTGTGTTATACTGTACAAGTGAACGTAGAACAAATAAAGCATTAAAATGACTTTAATTGTGAATTTAAAAACAACTTAATGTTACAGAGAGTTTGAAATAGCTTATCCACTGAATTCTCTACGTTCCTGTTGCACTCATTGCATTAACATTGTCGTTATGGTAAGATTTGATTTCTGTACGGATCTGGTTGGATGTTTATTGTTCGTGGCTGCTATTGAGGCTATACTTGGATTCGTTTCTGTTGAACATTTTGCATGTTGGTGCATTCGTACTGCAGCACTAACAGGAGCCTTGTCTGGCATGTACCTGGGCATCACACTTTTTGTTTACTCCTGATATCTCACAAGTATTTCATTGAATCATGTTTGAAACTACACTGGATTTGAGATCCGAATGAGTTATGAACAAAAAGGAAAGACAGTAACCCTTCTTTATTTGATTGGTCATTTCTGAACGGTTGTTATTTTCACAGTAACCTCTCACTACAGACCGAAGATGATAAAATGATTACATGAAGACCTTTCTGTCTCTCAAAGCAGTTTTTCAAAGGTCAGAAATCACTGGGTATGATTGAATAGCCTTTATAACATTTTGAAAATCCTGTTCCGTTTCTTAGACAGAATGTCCAAACATGTTAGATTGTGACAGTGAGTACTGTTTTAGTCTGGAAGATGTTCAGATTTCACAGACTTGAAGGCACCAAAGAATGTTTATGCTCCTTGTTGGAATCACTTTACCTTGTGTCCATTTTAATTTAGCATTTTATATGCATACCGCCAATCAGAATATATCGCTTCATTTCATGGAAATCAGTTACTTTCTCAGACATTGTGGGCTATTTAAAAACACTGTTTTCTGCTGGTCTTTGGAACTAACCTTAGAATGTTAATGTTGCTAAACTGATCAAATCCCTGGCCTCATTATTGTTATTATTAAAAATGATTCAAGCTATCAATGATGAAACTGCGCTGCTCATCTACACATGAAATCCTTTTTACAGATTTTACCCTTCCATTCAGCTTTGAAAGCCAAACACATTTTATGTGTTATCTTTACACTCTTCATATTGTCTTGATCAAGTTGTATCTCAAAATGCAAACTGTTTTCATTCGAACTGCTCATATTCACTTTTTAGTCTGTTTTAACTATGACTAAAATAGTGTAATGACCTGATGTATCAAAATTCAAAGTGTAATCAAAGGTGAGCATTTGTTGGACAAAAGCTGTGTTTTCATGTTATAAATATGTTAATTATGTGAGAAAGTCCATTTATGTAATAACAATGTTGTTATTGGTTTAAGTGATTTCAATAAAAGCAGACCTGAATTACACTTTTCTTTTTTTAATTAGTCCTTTATTTACATAATTTACAGGTACAGGAAAGCCAAAATATGAATGTTGCACAAATGATACTTATGTAAAAGTACAGAATATGTATGTACACTGGTAGTGGCTCAAAGTCTGTAAGACACAGATATACACATCACAACACAGGCATTCACAACACAACTGAGAAGACTTTTGTAAATTACATCAATGTACTTCTCAGTAACTTGCTAATTACATTCTGCAGTCTAAGATAAGAGTTCTTAAACTCAAAGTTCTAAAGTTCTTCTTAAACTCAAAACAAGGCACAGGTTGAGCATTTTTACAATGACAGTATGTTTTAAATGACCTGCTTGAATTCAGGCTCACAACCTACTGAACATATGGAACATCTGAACAATAAATTAGCACAGATACGATGTGACAATAAAATCCAAATATTTGTTGAGCAGTTATCATAACATAAAATATAAAAATCTATATAATTGTTATTGAATAAAGCTCCAACAGATACATTGATCGTTGATTCACATGTAAAATTCAGTTTGTGTCTTTTAAAGCACAATGGCTGATCATTATGGTAGATTTAAACTAAATCTATTTTCAAATAGCATTTATTATTTCAAGTAAACAGCTGAACAGTGGAAAGACTTCTGAAGTCAAGAGGAACTTGTATGAAAATGAAAAACCCATTAATAAAACTAATAAAAGATAATGTTACTCATGTTCATTGATTGATGGTAAATACTATAGGCTGCTAATAAAATCATAGGTACTGGAAGAAATATACAATCTTTGTTGTCTTTTTCAGCTGTGCAGTGTACAGAGATGTAAGGCACAGCTCTTACCTTGTGTTTTCCCATAACACACCTATAGATGGCGGTGGTAAACTATTAATCAGTGAACTTCTCTTATTTTCACTACATCACTTGAGAAGGCTGACCAAACAAACAAATAAAAGTTTCAAAAAGAAATTATAAAACTGTTCTGAATAGAGTATTTCAATGCTGTACATTAAATAAGTTACATTATTTTGCATAACTGATTAGAATATGCAAATAATTGATGATGAATGAATGAATGATGAATAAATGATTGCTTAAAAAACACCAAAGCTTGTTTATGTGCGTACAACCTCACACGATGCGAAGTTAATCTCATAAGTAACCATCTGTTTTAATATCATACAAATACCATAGACTTAAGTGTCTTCAACACTTAAGTCAACTGCTGTCCCTGTAGATAACACAAAATAACCAAAAACATTCATAGCGATTATATTAAAACCTATCCACTTCTGCCAACTGGACCATTGTAAAATTGGACACTTTAAAGTGATCATTAAAATGTGTCTCCGTTTCACCACACACTAAATATTTTTCACTTCCCTTTGTCACAGTGGGTGTGTAATAAATCCCCTGGCTCTGTATTGAACAATCTTATATTCATGATATGTGATAAGTTATAAATACCCCTATAATTTTTTTAATAACCCTTGGACTAAATGTGCATTATTGTTCTGCCTAAAGCTGATCATTTCTGTCCATTCCATTGAGCAGTCCCATTTCAGGCTTTGTCATGGAGAACTCCAGCACAACATATTTTGTATGTCTCCATTATGTAACACACCTGATATCTCATATCATCACCTCAATATCAGCGGCTCCAAGATCTGAGCCTCAAGAAAGACAGACATCCAAAATGTGCAGTGAGGGGTCACATGGTTGCTCAAACACCAGCAGACATGTGATCGCTGGAGCCAGAGGACGATGTAGACGTTGAAGAGTGTCGTCTTCGCCCGGCAGGACCCTGAAGCATACTGGGATGGAAGTTGACGTGTCTGCGGGCGTGTTTGGTGAGGTGATCGCTTCTCATGAAGCATTTGTCGCAGAGCGGGCACAAGAAACGCTTCTCCCCGGTGTGCGTGCGAAAATGTCGCGTCAGTTCATCCGACCGTGAGAATTTCTTTGCGCAGCCTGGCCAGGTACACTGAAAGGGCCTCTCACCTAAGAACACACACATGGGAGAGAGAAATTTAAAACTGTTTTTATTTCAGCCCCTATTGACAAAACCAGACAGCAGCAGCAAAAAATAAATAAAAATCGGCACGTCTAGATTTTTTTCCATGCATGTACGCACCTTCACCGGCGTTTTGGCAACTTGTTCAGTGTGCGTATGTAAAAACCGGAGAAATCGCTGATTTTTGATAGTTACTAGTGATTTGCTCTGAATGTGACCGCACTCAATTGGAGGGGACGTTTACACACCACGTGCCGGATGTTTACAAATGTAGAATCACATCACGTCATCGTTGCGTTGTTAGGTTATATGCGGTTATTTTAGTGCTTGTCGCATTGAAGTATGCGGATCGTCAAGGACCAGCGGCCACGGCACACACTGAGATTAGACTCATTATTAGAATAGAATAGACATATTAATTCATATGATGCATAAAGCAGAAAACAGAATTTAATTCGCGATATGGGCCCAACCGTATCATTAGCAAGCCTGAAATGATACTAGGCTACTTCTAGCATTTTTACCACACGATTACGCAATGTAATGTCTCACGGTGCCCTGCGTAACAATGTGGACTAAGCAACATGTTTGCTCACACTTTGATTAGTAACAGTGTGTCCTGTTCCACCCTCATGTGTACCCATGAGCGCTCCGCCTGCGGTTACACCCACCGTTACATGAGTGGCAGTTCCCGAAACCGAACAGAACACGCGGGCGTGGGGCGTGACAGACTGTGGGCCAGATAAACGAACGATCCGAATCGAATTACCGGCGTTAGTTGAGTTACTGTACACTTAAGCACAAAATAATTCAACAGTGCTTATTTCTTACCGGTGTGTACTCTGAAGTGCGCCTTAAGATGGGACGACTTGCCGTATATTTTGCCACAGTCAGCATAGGGGCAGCAGTGTCTCTTCTCAGCGGATACATGCAGTCTGTCGCGGTTCCGTGTCCTTTTCACCCTGCTCGCGTTCTGTCTGCATTTCTCCCGGTTTTCCTTCACGCCGGGCTGATTATCCACATCACTGTCCACTATACATTTGGCGCTGATGCCGCTCGGGATACACTGATTTAGGTCCAGCAGAATCATTGCGACCATCAACAGAGTCCGACTCTCTTGACTTTCTTCAGATCCCTCCTCGTCGGCTAGTTTGTCTGAGCGGCCACCGTTTGAGACCGGCCCCAATGACCTAGCTGCAGTATTAACGTCCGTCATTGTAGTTACCTAAAATGTCCTGGAAATGGAGGAGTCACCTGCTACAAATAGAAAAACTTAGGGCTCGGGATTCTCATCATATGCGCATCGGGAAACAGATGACTGTGGAAAACGTGGCTCCTACACGTGTTTTTCCCAATGTGACTGCGATGATTAATGTTCTAAGCGAAGAATAAAAGCGTGTGTCGCTTGCGTCTACACGCACAAGTTATCGAATAGGCATCCAGGTGCCTATTCCCAATATTATTTCAACCACATCAGAAAGCGTGGAACTTTGAGAACTGTCATTCCCTTCTTCCCTCATCCGTGTGCCTCTCTCTGTGCCGCTGTTTGCTGTTCTCATCTGAAAGAAACAGTACTTCGCGGAATCCCACGGTGTCATCATAAAACTCGTCGCTGATTGGACACGGTGGTCCAAGAGTGCATTGAATGCACTACCAGGAATCACCTTGACTCTCATGCTATTGAAGGCTCATGGGTCCAATAGTGTTCTGAGTATCGGATGAGGGGCGTGCTAACATAACAGGAACTACGAGTAGTAGCATGTGCCCTCCTTCAGCACTGTAATCACTCAACGCACTGGCCGATATATAGTTGTTTCTAAAAAGAAAGAAAAAAAGTAGTAAACGCTTGCATTGATAAGATTTATCATTTGTCTATCTTACATTTATCTCAAGTCACGGGATGTTAAAAAACCCAGTGTGAGCTAGTTTCACATTAACAGGCACCATGCAGTGAAAAATATTAACATAAGCATAACATATAGAAATCAGTAAATACACCATTTAACAGAGGTAGATATATCAGTGTATATGGGATATTGCCCAATGGAGCTTTTTCAGTTGTGACGATGGGATTTTTAAAGTAAAATTGAACATAGGCCTATATGACTTTAAATGGACAGCAATAAATATCAATTTCTTCGAAAACCTTCAAGACCTGTCTTCGACGGTCGACCTGAAATACATTATTTGATCTCTCGGCTTTCAGGGAAAACGGTCGCAGCGAAGTATTGAGCAATTGATCGCTAACACACGAGAGTAAGTCCATTTCTTTCAACAAAGCATGCGTGCAGAGGATTTGTGCTGCACAAGCATTGCCTATCAGTAGTAGCCTAGACGTTTTGAGGCGGGCCCTCGCGAAGGGCCGTTGGAGAAGGAGAAATTAGCCAATGAGAGCAAACGTAACACGACTCTTTTCGGAGTAGTCTCCGAACTCGCGGAGGTTCACAGTGGGAGACAGTTCTAGGAAAATATGGGAACAACACTTGCGGCCCCATTTCAAAAGTTTATCCATTGGCATGAACGGCATGAACGTATTATGACACTGTTAATAGGTACAGTAGAGAGGACAACATGAGACTATCAACAATCCTATTAACACTCACTTAAGCAGAATACTCATCTAAATATTTAGCATTTCATATATTTCTAAACATTTCATACCATAAAACTTTTTTTTTTATTAACAACGTTCTTGAAATAGGCCTATTTAGCCTACTTGTCTTGGTAAGTGTTGTCAGTCATAGGAATGAGACTTCATCATGGCAATAAAATGAAATCCAGGTGTTGTTTTTGTTGTACTATTTGAAAGGTGACGCGTGTAAACAACCTTCAGCAAGTTAAACCGTCTAATAAATCATCCCGTTTCTAACAACGCTGTCAATTCGAGATGGGTCACGTTGTTGTTATTGCGCTGTAACCAGCCCCACACACACGTGTCTGTTTTTGTGGAACAGAATGTACCGTGAACTAGAAGTGAACTTGAACGCCTCCCTACGATGCTGAAAGGACAGTGCAAGCAACACTTCCGCTCTAATGCAGAGTCACGCTTCTGTTTCAGCTGAACAGTAGCCTACGCATGTCGTTTCCGATCTCAAGAAGGATCTGTTCTTTGGAATTTCGGGATGTACAGTACCAAAGCTTGTAAAAAGCTGTAGTAAAGACGCACGCGGCATAAGACCCTCCCTGTAGACAGAGACATGGGACTAAATAGCACAAGTAGCCTAAATAAAAAAATCAAAGACTTATTTTGGAATAATTTGTTCAATATGTTCGCCTGTTTTATCCCAAAATTCGTTTTTCCACGCCATCACTCAATATGGGACCACACTAACAAAATAAAGTGCCAAATTTATATTCTAAATGTTTTTGTAGTGCAAATGAGGGAAATAATCTAAAATGGCCACACTCACCAAAGACTGACCTTGTTGAACTCAATGAAGGCTGAAATAGACAAGGAGCTGTGAAACCTTAAATATGTTTGTATCTTTCAACAATCAGCAAGTAAATAATAAACCAGGTGCCATTCTCTGGAAATAATGTGACAAGCTCCTAATAATTACACTGAAACTCCATAAAGTGAACGATCATTTCTCCTAACAAAAAATGAAACACAATGAGGTTTTGAATTATATATATTCTTTTATTTGTTATTACATGCCAAACATCTTATTCACATTGAGGAATACAGTATACACATTTGTATTTGCATCCAAATACTTAGCCTTTTACTATAGGATCCCGCTGTCTGTTTACTCATCTCTCAACTTGTATCTTTTGGAAGAACAACATGCATTTTAAAGACACTAAGTAAATTAAGACCTTTCCGTTCAAACTACAGCATTATTGCAGAAAACATGTGCTTGTACTTGTTAGCAGACAAGTGCTCACCAATAAGTTTAAAAAGAAGCTGGACTTGACTAAAAGTGGTATACAATTCACAACCTTTTATGCTACAATATAGGAAAATATTAAGAAAATACTGTACATAAAGTTATAAGTCGTCATGTCGTTTTGGCACACTGGGTAGGTTGTCATAGTGTAATGTCTTCTATCAGACACAGAAATGTTTTCTTAAAATCCTATCATTAATATATTAAACTCATTTTTTACATCCACAGAAAGATTTACAGATCATATACAAAACATTTACATGTGGAAAAACAAGTGTCATAAATATGCTCTGTCTTCTATCCCAAACAAAAACTCTTAACGAGAGCAAAACAGGCGATAGTTAGATAAACTTGCATTCATTAACTTCATAACACCCTCTTCTTTTGCTGGAACCAGTCCAACAAGAGGGTTTGTCAAATGACATTACCCAAAATAATACAGCATGGACATATTTTAAGGGCCCATGTATTGTTCATGTATTCATTTTACCCCTTAAAGCTCTTTGCAGTATAATCACCTTGTAGAAGTGGCCCAAAGAGGAAATCAAGTTTGAAATCATATAAAATGAAGCAAATCCGATCGACATAGTGAATGTCATACTAATATTGATATTAAGATCATTGGATATATGAAAACCACAGTGATTAGAATTACTGCTATGCACAAAAAATAAAATCATGTCTTTTATTATTTTGCTTTTGGTTCACATTCACGCTCTAACACCGAGTGTACATTTCAACATCTCAGAACACTGTGACTGTTATAAATGTTTTCAAATCTCTTAGCAGTATTGCACATTGGTAAGGCAAATAAAATACATCCTATGAGTGATACGTGTGGTGGAATCAGAATGGCTGGACTAAAAAGGGACTATATTGAATAGTATAGTACACTGGATTTATGCCAGAGATACAAATCTCATTTCTGTATTGCTTTAAACCCGCACTGTTTCATTTGATTTAAGTTGAAAAACAATTTAAAATAATCTGCTTTAATTAAAAGGGATTGATTGATTTATATGCATTCGTTAAATATAAGTCTGTCCAGATCTCCTTATCCTTCTGAACACCCACTATAATACAATAATTTTTTCCATCATAAACAATAAACTAAACATAAATACATATCTTAATTAACCATAAAATAGGAAGAAAATTGCCAAGGCATATAACTTGCTTAAAATAGAAGCGAATATGTACTCGTGTTCATTAAAGACATATTTAACATTGAATGGGTCCCTGTCTCAACTGTGCTGATGTGCTTTTAATATCTTTCCAAATTAAACACTGCACTATCAGATTGATTAGTGATGAGCAAACATAAATACATATCTTAATTAACCATAAAATAGGAAGAAAATTGCCAAGGCATATAACTTGCTTAAAATAGAAGAGAATATGTACTCGTGTTCATTAAAGACATATTTAACATTGAATGGGTCCCTGTCTCAACTGTGCTGATGTGCTTTTAATATCTTTCCAAATTAAACACTGCACTATCAGATTGATTAGTGATGAGACTGGTGTGCATAATGAACTCCTGGTTTAAAGTGCATAACACTTCTTACTGACCGACCAACCAACTCTCTGTGGTGTCTTGCATAGCAAGTTAACATATAGTACCTGTTCTGTGTAAAACAACATACACTCATATAAAGACAACCAGGCTTTTTGCTTTAAAATCCATTTTGGAAAGGTTCTCTAAACATTTTAACCCTTGCAACAGTCTGAAAAGTATGTTTGGAATGGCATACTATCATACTATACATTTTTGCCACAGCAGCACTTTTTTTTGTATGATTGGAAATACTTAAAAGACCTACTACCTGTGCAGAATACAATCTGAACACACTGCATAATAGTGTAGCCGACAATTCAGTGTGCTTGACTTTTCATTTGGAGTGTGACATTTTTATACAAAATTGAGATAAATATGTATTTCAAAATTAAAATTGCAATATAGTCATGTTATGCGACAACAATGTAGCATACTACTGTTTGAAACATTTATCATCATATACTCTTTACTTCTACCACATACTATTATTAAATAGTATGCAGTATACAGTATATACAGCGCAGTAAGCAGTAAACTAGCATTCCATACCAAACATGCTGTTAGTATAGAGTTCAAGCAGTTACTTTTATTTAATTACACTCAAATGGGCACCCTGCTGTGATATATTTGGAACAAAACAGACTGCAAAAGACAAAACATGATCATTTAACACTTTAAAATGTGTTACCTGTTTAATAATGAGAGTGGAAATTCTGCACAAACTTTTGCTGCATTCAGACACCTTATATAACATAACTGACTGCTGTGTGACTATGAAGCTTTTTGAATGCAGATGTATACATCCACATGGGCCAAGAGATATTTCAAGGCTCCAAGAAGGTTAATCCTTTCATAATAAAACGAATTATACGCCACATTCAACATGTTAGGGAAGATATGTGTATGTTTGTCTAATCTGGTTTGTGGGTTTTAATTGACAGAACAAATCTTTGTATACACAACAAACTTTAGCATTACATTTTTGTAACTGTCAAAGTCCTGTTTTCATTTAAGTTTAAAATTGTTTTGGAATTAAACCATCACTCTATGTGGCCTGTAGGAGATACACTCAAGAAATCAGTCAATAAAGAGAGAACACGATTCATGCTGTGACGTGGGTGACTCACCTAAACTAAAACAGTAATTTGCATTGCAAGGTTATGTGAAGGCCTGTTCACACCAATA